CCATAATGCAAGCCTGATGGTATAGGCCTATAGTTAAGCCAGAGGAAATAAAAAGAACTCCACTGTAAGCGTCGATTCATTGTAAACGTGTTAGGTATGAGCGTGTATTACTGTATTACGAAAAAGATTCTTAAACAATATTATTATACCTCAACTGAATTTTCCCTATATAAAATTAGATTGTTAGATGTGAATATTTCCTTAGAAATCGCTGTGAATGGATTGAGCGTTAGCCAAGTGAGCTAATTTCTGCTTCGAACACTAATTTCCGGTTATCCAATATCCTCTAGATTAAAATTCTTTAGTATTGGTATAATAATTATGTCAATGGACTGATCCCCGTGTGTTAAGTAAGTAGGTGTAATCGTTGGCATGTATATATAGCATGTAAAAAGATGTGAAACAAGAGCAGGAAATAAGAAGGAAAAAATCAAATGTTCAAGTGACCAAAAAAAACACATTGAGTTACAGTAACAATTGAGTATACAGCAACAAAATCGTACTTATAGTAAGCAAAATATTATCTAAGTTTCAATAAACATAATTTTTGGTCAACTTTGAAGTTCTATTGAGACCACACCCTTTGTCCCAGGGTGATACCTTCAACAAGTTTTAATCCACAACATATCCTTATCATGTATGTAAGTTTAGTGATAATCTGGCCAGTGGTTCTTGAGAAGAAGATTTTTTATCAACCAGTCCTTTTGTTTTTATTTTCCTAATTATCTCCCCTTATTTGTTTAAGGGACACATCCCTGTTTTTAGTATAAATGAGAGCCCTTGAGCCAAACATACTCTTTGACAAAATTGATAAAAATTGGACGAGCGGTTTTTAAGTTATGGCCCATATTCCAAAAAGTTGACGCATACCGCACAAATGTCCATTGCATTAGCAATGCGAGCCTTCGGCTCAAAAGAACTCATAATTGTAATTTGTACATTGATTCATTATATATTTGATTCTTTCTCAAAATGAATTCTCAGAACTGTGTTAGATTACTAATTTAAAAGTTAAATCAAGTGTAACAAGTAGAAGAAGTTGTGAAAGTTATATGTCTTGAAAAACAAAAAGGATGACTGCACTTAAGGACATATAAAATTTGTGTCAAAATAAATTTTCAAAACAGACATTTTTCTTTTAATTGCAGGAATGATCAACATCTAACCTTCAACTTTACGTAATTACGATAAATAAAAGAATATGTATTAACGAATTAAGAATCTGTTTTCTAAAGCAGGGATCATCATTTCTTCAATCTCCGTACGATAATGAGGACGCCCACTTTTTTACTGACTTTATACATAGTCAGCGCATGTTTGTCTATTGTTCTCCTTTTTACAGTAGTTGTATATTTGCATTAGTAATGTTGTGTTAAAATGAGATTTATAGACAAACATGCGCTCATGGTTTAAAAGAGGAAAAAACTGCTTCTTCTTACACCCGCTCTCTCTGTTGTAACCAAGGGCTGTGACACGTTGAATATTATAATTCATCACGTGATATCTTTTTTCAGGTAACTGTGAATACTAAATTCCGTCACGTGACATATAGGTAGCATGTTTTGAGCTAACTAGGACACTGTGCTCGAACACGTTAATTTGTCAGTCTTCAATTTAAAATACGTTTCCTACATGGATGTGCTTATATTGTTAATTACGTTTTAATCCTTTGTATAATGTCATTGTGTCAAACAGAATAAATAGAGAGGTGAAAAATAGTGATCTCTTATTATTTTAATACATGTCATTGTTATTCATCTAGTCTAATTTTAAACCCATTCTTACGATGTTAACTCTACCTCTCATGCATACATAATGTTAAAATCAAGGGCAGGTAAGTGTAAATTCTCTTTATTTGGAAAACAGTTAGGACAATAAACATGGAATTAGTTTATTGTATTACAGTCTAAAATTATTTTTAACATTTAAATCTGGTGAAAAATTGACAGACTTGCAGTGTATGTGTAAATGTATAAAAGTGAAATTACGTTAAGATTTACATGCAATAGAAGCGACCGAAAGAGACCCAAATCACAGCGTTAAGTGCAGTTCATCCTTTAGCTACTGCCCGAGAATTAAACGATTTCATTATCTGTTTCCAACATAATTCGTAAGCAACATGATCTAGTGCCTGTTACAGGTGAATACTTAAAAATCTGGTACCTGCTACAGGTAGGTAGCTTTAAAATCTGGTACCTGTTACAGGTAGGTAGCTTTAAAATCTGGTACCTGTTACAGGTAGGTAGCTTTATAATCTGGTAACTGTTACAGGTAGGTAGCTATATAATCTGGTACCTGCTACAGGTAGGTAGCTTTAAAATCTGATGCCTGGTACAGGTAGGTAGCTTTATAATCTGGTACCTGTTAGAGGTAGGTAGCTTTATTATCTGGTACCTGTTAGAGATAGGTAGCTTTATAATCCGGTACCTGTTAGAGGTAGGTAGCTTTATAATCTGGTACCTGCTACAGGTAGGTAGCTTTATAATCTGGTGCCTGTTAGAGGTATAGGTAGCTTTATTATCTGGTACCTGTTACAGGTAGGTAGCTTTATTATCTGGTACCTGTTAGAAATAGGTAGCTTTATATTCCGGTACCTGTTAGAGGTAGGTAGCTTTATAATCTGGTACCTGCTACCTGTAGGTAGCTTTAAAATCTGGTACCTGTTACAGGTAGGTAGCTTTAAAATCCGGTACCTGTTATAGGTAGGTAGCTTTATAATCTGGTACCTGTTACGGGTAGGTAGCTATATAATCTGGTACCTGCTACAGGTAGGTAGCTTTAAAATCTGATGCCTGGTACAGGTAGGTAGCTTTATAATCTGGTACCTGTTAGAGGAAGGTAGCTTTATTATCTGGTACCTGTTAGAGATAGGTAGCTTTATAATCCGGTACCTGTTACAGATAGGTAGCTTTATAATCTGGTACCTGCTACAGGTAGGTAGCTTTAAAATCTTGTACCTGTTACAGGTAGGTAGCTTTATAATCTGGTACCTGTTAGAGGTATAGGAAGCTTTATTATCTGGTACCTGTTAGAGGTAGGTAGCTTTATTATCTGGTACCTGTTAGAGATAGGTAGCTTTATAATCCGGTACCTGTTAGAGGTAGGTAGCTTTATAAGCTGGTGCCTGTTAGAGGTAGGTAGCTTTATTATCTGGTACCTGTTAGAGGTAGGTAGCTTTATAATCTGGTACCTGTTAGAGGTAGGTAGCTTTAAAATCTGGTACCTGTTAAAGGTAGGTAGCTTTATAATCTGGTACCTGTTAGAGGTATAGGTAGCTTTATAATCTGGTACCTGTTACAGGTAGGTAGCTATATAATCTGGTACCTGCTATAGGTAGGTAGCTTTAAAATCTTGTACCTGTTAGAGGTAGGTAGCTTTATAATCTGGTGCCTGTTAGAGGTAGGTAGCTTTATTATCTGGTACCTGTTAGAGGTAGGTAGCTTTATAATCTGGTACCTGTTAGAGGTAGGTAGCTTTAAAATCTGGTACGTGTTAGAGGTAGGTAGCTTTAATATCTGGTACCCGTTACATTTAGGTAGCTTTATAACCTGGTACCTGTTAGAGGTAGGTAGCTACCATTTTGTACGACACAACTGTCTCTCACTTTGTTTGTTTTCTGTAAGTTTAAAATCATATTTAATTCAAATTCAGTTTTTCTTTGAATTCTTGATGTTTTCATATTTTTTTTATTTACAGTTGAATGCAAGAGGAGTTGATTGCTGTCATTCCTTAAAACAATCTTCTCATTTTTTAAAGTGCAAAATTTTGATTAACTTTAATAATTCAAAATGCATTTGAATTATTAGAAAAATCCAGCATCGTCGCAAAACCACGGCAAAAATGTATAGACTTCGGGCCGTAATGACTCGAGGCGATGGTAATCCAGCTACAGTAACTGCGCATAAAAGTTCGAATTGATGAGGAAATAAAATAAATAGCTATCCCTTGATCCTTATGTCGCGGATTCGAATACCACTGTTGGACGTGGAGACCTGTCCTTTGGATGAGAACGAATAAACCGAGGTCCCGTGTCGCAGTAGGTGCTGGCACGAAAAAGATTCATCACTGCTCAATGGCCCTCAGTGCCAAGGTCAAAAATTGCAGCTCTCCACCGGCATATGATGGCGTCTCCTTATGAGTGAAAAATTCTCGAGAGGGACGTTAAACAACAAACAAACTTATCATTACATTATTCTGTGCATTTACAAGCACTCTTCGCCATTATTATATAGAAAGAGATGAAATAAATCAATTTCCTTTTATTTTTGCTTGTCAAGTTTTTTTTTTTCAGGTCTACGCGTATAAGTTGATTTTTTTTCTGGTTGCCCCCTCTCAAAAGCAATGCTACGTCACTGGGCCGGACGTCTTTGTGTGTGTTTGTATGTGTAGGGAGGGGGAATAGATATCTGGTCTATTGGTCTGGGAATTGTAACTCCCCATTGACCCAGCCAGGTCTGTGTTCTCTAGGAATGTAAATTAAAAACTTCTTGGGCACAACAATACAGAAATTCCTTTAGAAGCAAAAAATAAAATAAAATAAATAAATAAATAAATAAATAAATAAATAAATAAATAAATAAATAAATAAATAAATAAATAAATAAATAAAATAAAAATAAATAAATAATAATAATAACAATTAGTGATTAAATATAATTAAATAAATAAACGGCACAGCTCCGTAAAAAACCTTTTTAAATTCAATAACTACCCCCCCCCCCCCTTTAGTTTCTGCGAAAGCTACTCAACATGAGTATATGCTCCCAAGATCACCAATTAGATAACAATATTTTTCTCTCACTTAATTATTACGTTTTACATATTTTTCTTATTGATAAACACAAACAATTCAATAGAACGAATTAGGTTGAACTTTTCAATGAGGGTAGAAATTCATGTACGTCACCGTTGTAACGCGAGATAACTCGTGCGCACTTAAGGAGAGATAACTCCTGTCTGCCAACCTGCAAGCGGTACCAGATAGCCTCAACCTTATCATCCAAGCGCCTTTTTAGTTTTCACCAAACAATGCTGAAACACCCCGGTGCTAAAAGTACCATGAGCAATTGGACACACCAAGGGGTAATCGTCCGAGGTGAGCCGAGTGCGATGGCGCGAAAATGAAAGTAGAACGGAAAGAAAAACATGTAACTGTTCATGATGCCGTCTAGTTCTGTATCAGACTCAGAGGAAAGAAATGCTTCGAAATTCAAAAGACGGAAATCTGACTTAATTTCATCTGATGAACCATTGTATGCATTTAAGGAAAATACATCCAGGTGGCAACAAGCAGATTTAGAGGCATTGGGCATAATTTATGATCAAAATGACATTCCTCTTTATAAATTGATTGACCGTGTAAAACAAGTGGCTTGGAGAGGACATGTGTACAAATCAACATTGTCACCAGAACACTTATCTGTTTTTGCAAATTTAATGAAAGAGTTTCTTACTTTGTGTCTACCATTTGAGAATGGTCCAAGACCAGTAACCTTTGTAGAAGCTGTATCACTCATAGCAGAAATAGAAGAAACGAGAGAAAAGTTTTACAATCACACGCTACAAGCCAAAGCATTGTTGGATTCACTAACAAAGGAAACAAAAAGGTAAGTTAAATTGCAGGGCTCGACATTAACGCTTGTCCAGTACCAGTGAAAAAAAAATTACGGACAAGTGAATATTGCTGGGCACTTGTCCGATTGGACAAGTGCATTTTAATGTAAAGGAGTCTCTAAATAATAATAAGAACGACTGTGAAAGATAATCGGTAGTTTCAAGACGGAAGCTGTACATAAAAACCGGACTTCGATCCCGATAGGGATCGCTATTAATTGAGTTCACATTCGATCGTGATCGAAGTTCACTAATTGCATACTACTGAACAGGTCTGGGCGGCCTCCGTTTTTGGAGGATAGCTAAATTCAATATGGTGGCCAAAATTTTTACCATATATGGAAACCCCGTTGCATTGTGGGATAGTTTATCCTCCGATTTCAGAGGATAACACAGGTAATTTTCAAACACCTCGTGCCTACCTTTAATCAAAAAGTGCAAGCACCAGAGTACATGCAAATAAAAGTTCAAACATTGAACTATCGATTGTATGTGGCGATTTGAGAATCTATGTCTAGATATTTTGCAATTTATTTTCAAAATTAGCACTTTTTGCGTTATTGTATTTAAAACGCAAAATATACTCTGCCTTATAATTTAAGCAAATAAAAGTATAAATGGATCGAATGAATAATTATCAAAATAAATAAATAATTTGAAAAGCATAAGTAAATAAAATAAATAATTTGACATGTTTACTAAGAAATTAACATATACAGCCATGTGTATACATAAACAAATAAAATATTAAAAGTGATGTGCTAAAGAATTATTAAATGAAAGAAATAATACATGATTAAACTTAATTTTTCAAAAAAAATTGTTCATCAAAATTTCTAAACTGCTTATCACATAATTAAGGTACTGGAAAATCAGCGTGGTTTTAATTAACCCCCGTCGCAGGCAGGTAAAAGGAATATTTGTTTTCCAAGCTGTTTACTGAATAACTGATTGACGGCAATTACAAAAATATAGATATATTGATTTAATATCTGGAATTATCCATCATCATAGGAAATTGTACCTTTTATTTGTTCTGATTTCGAAATCAGCGTACGGTTCATAAATGCAAGAGTTGCTGTTATTTGTTTGGTTAAGAGTTAACTGCCCTTAGTTTTGAAAATTCCGGTAGGTGGCAAGACCTCTATCCTCTGTTTTCAGAGGATAAAATCTATCCTCCAAAAACAGAGGCCGCCTAGACCTGCTGAAAAGGCATGGAACTTACAAACTTAACAAAGTTTGGTTCACTTGTGGACATTTATGTTGTTGTCAGACCAGAAAGACTAGATAAAATTTTGTTTTATATATGTGTTTGTTGTATTTATCAATAACATCACGAATCAATCAAGCACATGTCATGTGTAATGGACTTTATTTTAGTTTTCCAGTTGACAGTATTAGATATTTATTGAAAATTTTTCGGACAAGTGAAGTTGAAGTTCGGACAAGTAAATGTCTTGTTCACTTGTCCGAATGGACAAGTAGGAAAAAAAGTTAATGTCGAGCCCTGAATTGTTTTTTTTTTCACTTTGTTGAATTTGTTGGTGTAACCATAATGACGGATTAGCTAGGAGGTGTCCACAATGATGGCTGGCTTGAACCTACAACCCTCAGATCATGCAGATCCAACACTCTATCGACTGAGCTAAAGGGTAGTGATAGACGGACTTTTTCTTGAGATGCCTTACCTCTGAGAAATCTCACACACAAAACACCACTCACCATATGGGTTTTTTAGTTGGGTGCCAATTTGACCAAATAGCTAGTTGGTGTCCACAATGTGGCTTGAACCAACAACCTTGGATTTAAAATCCAACACTTTACCAACTGAGCTAAAGGGTAAAGGGTTAACTCACTATAGCTATCACTAGTAGGAGCGTGGCCTCACTATTTACAACATATAACCACTTCTTTAACTCTGTTACATTAGGTTGATCAAACCTTCCAAGACATCACATCACATTCAGAGGTCAGGAATTTTCAACTGCCTCAAGTAGGGCCAAATATATAGGCCCCATTCCCAATTGCAAAATCCCTCCCTTTTTCCCCAAAATGAACCCACAAAGTTAACTTGATCAAAGTTCTGGTAAAAAAAAAAAAAAAGATGGCCAGGTTTGGAAATCTGAATGAATGAAAAATGAATAAACTTTTAAGAAACTTGGCTAAAACTTTATTATAATTGATCTATTCTTATTTACAGTTCTAAATAATTAAGTAGAAGATCATATTATCTATCATAATTAAGTGTTTATTTAAAAAAAAAAAAAAAAAAAAAAATCATGCAATAAAATTTCCCAATAAGTGATAAAATGTTGTCAAACTCCCAATTCTAAGGGCTTGGGCCCCATTCCCGAAATGGAGTGGAAAATCCCTGGAAATTCCATCTGAGGAAAATTACAGGTTTTAATAGGCATTATTTATTCCACTGAAATTTCCTACAAATAACCAGTTAGGGGTGAGACTGAAATCCATCATATTGAAAAATTATTGATAATTGTCATTTCTACTAGAACATATTAATAAACATATTTTCATTATTTCTGCTTTATATATGACTTAATATAATCATATTTTCATTCCCAAGTTAATTCTTTGAACCTGTTTACTACAATAATAAGATAAAGTACACTATCTTGCAATGGACACGTGTGTATAGAGAAATGTCTTGACAAATAATTGAAACCAAAATAAAGTAGTGCGCCCTATAAAACAAGTGAGATAATTAAGTGCGCCCAGACCTACCAATTTAATACAAAAAGATGAAACATGATCATATTTATCTTCAGAGGTAACTCTATAATAATATTTTAAAATATATATACTCCAAATTTTTATGACTGTTTTTCAACATCATTTTAAAAAATGATGAATTTTCAGTCATTACTAAAAAATTAATTTTATGAGTTAATTAATAGTCATCATTTTCAAAAATGATGAATTTCAGTCTCACCCCTGACTGATAGCACCTTGAATACATGTTAGGCCTGATTGAACTGGGACACCTGCACATCTTTTAATCTTGACATTTTCAAAATGATTGCTATTTTTTCCTAGTCTCTACATGAAGATATCATAATTCACATGTTAATTGTACCAATGGTGGACATGGCAGATTTATTCACTGCTGGAGAGCTCAGCTGGTAGACCAGTTTTCTAGAAATCAGAGTGCCCAGGTTCAAATCCTGGCCTGGTCAGTCACATTTTCTCCCTTCTTTTCAAAACTGTGCTGTGACCGTGTGCCCTGGAAGATTTACCAGGGAATTGGCTGGGTCGGTGTCCAGGGTTAGAAACTCCCTAAAATTACAACTCGCAAATAATTGCGAGTACCAAGAAAGTGAACTCGCAATTTTATAAGACTACACGCAATTTTCATATAAAGTTAAATTTATATAAATTAAATACATGTAACTTAAGGAAAAGGTAACTACTGTACAATACACAAAATACAACTACAGTGTGACTTTTAGTTAAATTACTGATTTAAATCAAAAGCATTGTGTTCTGTCATATTACATAATTTCGCTACAGTTTCAATGCAAAAAAAAATCTACTCGCAAGTTTTTGCGAGTTACCTAATTTTTAACTTGCAATTTGGGAATTCATACTCGTGTTTTGCGAGTTGTATACAGTGAATTTCGTGTCTTTAGGTAAAGACATAAAAGGAGGGAGGAATGTTATTGGCCTGGCAGGTTTAATCACCAGTGGCCAGATTTCTCAGTAGAGCACATGTTTAGAGTTCAGGAGCCTAGGTAGCCAATAATAGTGCTCCGAGCCACAGTTCAATGCACTGAAAGGGACTTCCAATCATGCAATAAAAATTTCTGTTGAAATTATTTACATCTTCATTAAAGTTTAAAAAGGTAAAACTCCTGAATTTCTGGAAAAAAAAATTGCTAATTCTTTATAACGCTAAGTTAGCCCTTGCACTCATTCAAGTACATGTACAAATGTAGACGCTGGACGTTGGTACAATTTATACTAACTTGATTTGATAGTGCTTTAAATTGTTGAATAATTATTTTTTCTTTTCTATATTGCAGAGAATATCTCTTATGGCAAGCCAGGACATATGATTTCCTCAAGTATTTAGGAATATTTCAAGAAAGTAGATCATCTTGTCCATTGAGGAAAAGCCAGTACACCAATTTGTTCATGAAATTTACAGAAATATTTTCTCTTCAACCTGAGTATGTATTAATACATATTTATAATAAGTGATTATTAATTATTTTGAACTACCCGGTAACAAAGGAAAACCGTAAAACACTTTTTATTCACGAGAAATTTATTTTGATAACTTATTTAATGACACAAGACAGTCTGCTTGCCAGATTTTTATTCTCTTGTATATTTTCATTAGTATAAATAGTATATGCACCAATAACCATGCAGAAATCATGAAATAAAAAAATTTTAATTTGAAATTCTAACTATTCTCTTATTGCTATTGTGTCTACTTATTCAAATACAATGTAAGTCTTATTTAAAAGGAGCATGAAAATGTTGAGTACAGGTACTGTACGTACTATCATACTATAAAACATTGACATTTATAGCTGCATAATCACTCATTTCTTGAGGGTGACTGCACATACCAATAGTGGCTGAAGTATTGTGATTCTAAAATATTGCCACCAAAATAACTATTTTCTGTATTCTTATAAATTCCTTTACAAATATTATTATGACACACTAGTTGCAAGCATATTTGCAATTTCCAAATTAAAAACACAGTGTTTTAAATTTTTGAGTACCGTAGCTGTGGTGCTTTGATAGAGGATGACAAATGTAATTGATTTTGAGTGGCCAAAAATACAATATATTGACTTTTAAAACATGTGTAATATTTTTGATATGCTAGGTTTAATGTAATTTCATAAATTAAAATTTAATTACTCATATACATGTCTCTCACTTAGGGGAATTTTTTTTTAAAAAAATGTAAATTTCTCTTTTAGGCTTGGTGGTAATCGTGAAGCAAGCATTGCCATTGGCCAGCAAAAGACTGTGTCTTCTCCTGATGTGCGATTTGTTAGCTACCCCAGGTTTGCACCTGCAACAGTTCTAATAGCACACTCAGAGGTAAAAAAAGAATACTCTGGAAAACTGCAAACTTGCTTTATCATTTCTAAAGACTATAAGACTGAAATCATCTGCTTTCAGAACAGCTACACAAACCTCAGCTAAGCATGTATCTGTACATGAATGCTCTCTTTATCTCTACAGTTCAATTAACTTTATAAACCTCTTTTTAATCTCTGTATGGTTAAGGTTGAAAACCTGTGTTTACTGGTAATCTCTGTACAATTAGGGTTGTAAACCTGTGTTTAATCTCTGTACAGTTGAGGTTGTGAACCTCTGCTTAATCTGTGAGTGATTGAAGTTGTAAACCTCTGCTTAATCTCTGAACGGTTAAGGTTGTAAACTTTTGCTTTATTAGCTCAACTAATCAGAGACCAGAAGAGCTTACACAATAGTAAGGTGTCTGTCATCCGTCCGTCTGTCTGTAAACAATTTTTCAAAACGCTACTCCTCCTACAGTTTTGGTCTGATTTCAATATAACTTGGCATACAAGTAGACTACACTAAGATACATAATTCTATATATCCGTTTTTGATTACGTTGAACGATGTTGCCATGGTTACTAAAAATAGAAATTTCCTTGAAATACTTTCAAAATGCATTGAAATCCTCCTACAGTTTTGGTCTGATTTCAATATACATGTAGCTTGGCACATAAGTAGACTATATTGAGATTCATAATTGTCTTTTTTGTTTTTTGATTTTGTTGAATGATGTTGCCATGGTCACTAAAATCAAAATTTCTGTAAAATTCTTTTAAAAGGTTACTCCTCCTATAGTCTGATTGCAATCTTGCAACAAAAAGAAACTAAATTAAGGATCATTATTCTATTTATTGCTGTTGCAAATTTGAAGTCCATGTGCTAATTTTCTCTTCCTTTGTTGTAAGTACAACTCAGTAGAGCTACAGTCTTGACAGGGACTTCTGGTCTCTGTACAGTTGAGGTTGTAAACTTTAACTCAATCTCATAATAGATAAAGCTGTAAACCTTAGCTTTAGTGTTGAATTCTTTACAATTTAAAAGATTAGAAGAAAGTTTTTCTGCCACATTTATACTGATATATCTGTGTGTGCTCATTAAGTTTTCACAATGAAAGCAATCAATCACTATTTGTTCAGTTTTTTTACTTTCTGAGTATTACCTTGACACACATGTACTTAAATAGTGGTTTATTGCACCAAATAATAATGATAATCCATTTGCAAAATCCTCATATATTATTCTCATATTAGAGAATGAAAACATTATGAAATAAGATTGTTTTTGGTCTTTTTAAGGTCAGCTATTTTTCCCACAAGAAGGAAAAGACAGAATCAGCAGCAGATTTTGATATTCATGAGTTATCCCCCAGTATCTTAGGACAGCATGGAGGGGAACTCCTGGCTGAGAGACACAGCTCCTTCTTCACACCTGGTGTCCTTGGAATGATTTGTTTAAAGTCAACGGTTTGTTATCTTGTATTTTTATTTATGCCCCCTCCCCCTCCTTCTCCACAATATTAAGCATACAATGGTCCTACAGCAGGATTTCTTTACAACTTACAATTTGAAGATCCTTGTAAATTTTCAAAGCACTAAATGCAATCCTCATTTCCATACTTCAAGATGATTTCTACCCTCTGTGCCAGAGGAGGTATAAAGATTAAATTTATGTTTTAATCCTGAATATTTTTTATTGTTAGATAATCTTCACTTTTTTGGAAATCAGTGAGGACCACTACAGATGTGTAAAGAAGGGACTTGATTGTAGGGAAAAGGTAGCATCCATATGTTACACAAAACCTTATGATTACTGGGACCCAAAAGACAGAGACGAAATTTACAGTACTCTGTTTTGGCTTGGCCATCTGCAGTCATCAGAAAAATAGCAGGGTGATAGATTTGTCAAGTGCCTCTGCGAAGTCTTTCAAAAAAATTTGCAGTAAGAAGACCATTGGTTTATATAGACTATTGTGATGTATGTGTATATATGTGCAACAGATAAAGGTAATGCAGTGAAGTTTTCTACAGAAACAATGGCCCATATTGGTGTAACTTCATGCTACACTGTAGAACTTCAGCAGTTAAACCATGGTGTATAAATATTGTTCTGTTGTTGGCTATTGTCAATATGAATATGATTTGTTCAGAAACTGTGCAATATGTTGAGGGAGTATTGGTGTGGTTTGTGTTACCGGTATATAATACTTTTGTCTTAACGAGGACAGTTCTAAGGTGTTGAATGCTTATATAAAACATGTATGTTGGATGCACACTGTTCATATCATCCTGTATCATATAGTAAATGTAAAAGCCTAGTTAGTGCCAGTCTGCTAGACATGCTTTTTCACAGGATTATATAAGGTTTCTGCTTGCATTATTAAGTTCCACTCATTTAACTTTATATTCTGTCTAAATACTGTTTTATGTTAATTTAATTGTAGTAATAAACAATTGGAAATGATTTTTTTTCCGGTTCAGAAGTTCTATTGAAGTCTTACATGTATGTGAGACAATTGGGGAATATATCACAGTTTGTTGTTGGGTCATTTTGAGTGAATGAAACTTGTAAAATGGTGTATAACAAAGAAATCATATATTAAGTTCATCTACTCGGAGTATATTGAACTTGAAAATATATCTGCTTTCAAAGAACAAAGTACATGTAGCCTTAAACCACTCATCCCAGTTTTGGTGACTCTTTCAATGTATATGTTCAAATGGCAACTTCTCGGGCCTTTCCGACAAGTGGAAAAACTTGAATGTGTTGTAAAAGTGTTCTTGATAACCCTCCTTTTCATAGATATTGAAATATATATGTAGGAGGACCTCTTATCTGTGTATTCTGGAGCTTAACTTTATTGACTATAAAATATACTTCAGAAGGGACACTCAACTCTGTTTATCCAATACTTTAATAAATTAGGAAGCAACTCCTTTTTGTATAAAATTTTAACATCTGGTGATGTATGCATTCGAGGTTTTTCCAAGCTTGCCGGAAAGGCCCGAGAAGATGCAATTGTATTTGTTCATTTCTCCTGTGAATATGTCCAGTTCAGAACAAGTCTCTCTATTGAGAAATTCTTAATCCTCTTCATGCATTGCAGTGGCGGATCCAGAAGTTCATGTGGGGGGGGGGGGGGTTGAGGCCCGTTGGGCCGAAGGGGGAGGGCATGGGAGGGGGTGCCCCCCTCCCATAGGTGGGGGTTCGGGGGGCCTCCCCCGAGAAATTTTCTTAAAAAATGGCTCCAAATGGTGCATTTTCCAGCATTTTAGATTGAATTAATTCGTTTTTGGCCACTTTTTTTCTAGGTGATTTTCAAGACTGACCTACCCTAATTTTCAAGAATTAGAACAAAAAAAATAATAAATTTTTGGATTATTTTTAACTTCCATGTAAACTTGAAAAATGAGACTTTTCTTTAAAAAAAAAATTAAATGTAAAATCTGATAAAATTAGAAATATCGCCATTTGAAATATAATATCCAATTCTTCATTTTAAAATGCACATCCAATGTGTCACATGTGAAGCTCTGACTACCAAAATACAACTGATGTGCAATTTCCCAACACTTAGAAAATTTGGATTCTGTGTAGAAACCCTTATTACTCTTTTCAACTACTTGACTCTACTGTAAATATATTTTGAAATATAAGCAAATAATGATATATCATATTGAAGAATAAATATAAATTTATTATTTTGGGAAATTGTTGGAATTATTGCTTTTTCATGGGGGGGGGGGGGGGGGGGTTGATTTATAATTTCTAACATAAATGCACCATACTTCTATTTTTATCTTATCCATGCACTTACCAGCCCAATGTTTTGAAAAAAAAGTCTTGGAAAAACAATAAAAAAGTGGCCAATTCTTGTTTTGACAGGATCTCTATTATATACATATAAGTTTTACCACAATTCATTATACAAAGTTGTAACCGTTAGTTGAGTTTTATTAAACATCATTCAACTGTAATTTTAAAAAAAATGCAGACCATTTGCTTTTTAAAATTGCATTGTAACTTCTATCTACAAGTGTGCTTTTTTTCTGAATAATAATAATAATCACAGTTTATTGACATAGTTCAATAAAGTAAGATTCAATTTTCGAAGAATATTACTTTGGCAATACCAAATACCTGTAATAACTATGTGCAGTTTTGGTTTGTTAGTGTATGACGTTGTGTCATCACTACCTGACTACATGTAGCCAGAGACATATAAAAACCATATATGTCTCTGATGTAGCTGCATGGACTATCATGATCTCTGTATTCATGGTACTGTTGTTATATACCTGTGTATTGTGTGCGCTCAAGCGGAAAGGGATTTCGCATGGGTCTGTATATTTCACCTCTTTGTGTAAAACAATGGGCTTGGATAGAGTCTCATTTATGCAATATATTGTTAAAATGACACTTGTAAAAAAAAAAATTTTGATTGGGTGGGGGGTTTTTCCCGAACCCCCCCTAACCCCCCTGAATCCGCCACTGCATTGCTGCGTATCCTTTCCACAGCTGTAGTGTAATGGCCAACAATAGAGATTCAGATCCCTTACACTGGGCAGAAGGGAAGAGTGTAACGTATTTGGAATGGATTGAAAGAGGAAGAATTCATTTGTTGTATTATATAGATTGTTAAAGTTACAAAACGCTGCATTTATTTTAGTTTTAAAATCTTCAAAAGCATGACAGGCACTGGGTTTTCTTCATGAAAGCATATGCATTCTACCTGATTTCCATGCCCTTCAAACTTTGGCCAAGTTATAGGTTCAAAAAAGGAAGAAAGAAGAAAAAAATTGCCACCTAGGCTTAATGCATAATAGAAGTCCCACACACATACTTGCCACCCCTGCACCATGACCTATAGGCATTAGAGGATTAAGCCTGATGATAATTCTGTAGCATATCAAACATACTTTTCCTTGATGCGGAAATTGTATTGATACAGTGATTCCTGTTTTTCCCCCTTCCAATAAAGTTGGAGGGGATGTAGTTCTTCTGTGTTTGTGGGTGAGTGTGTCCATAACAGAAGTTTTGCAAGTAATAATTTATATCAGGATCGATGTTCTCTTTTGTGAAGGGATGCTCCCCTTTGCGTTGCCCTTGTTTAACCTATTTTTTATGCCCCGCCATGAATATGGCTGGGGCATATAGTGTTTGTCATGTCCATCTTCCGTCTGTCCTTCCGTCACACTTTGCGTTTAGCTCTGTTCAAAGCTCAGTTTCAAAGAAACTATCCAAGATATTTTTATCAAACTTCATATGCTTATAGATATTGATGAGAGCTGTGCAACTGCATCAACATTTTTTGACCTTGACCTCACTTTTCCTAAATTAGTGTTTAGTTCAGTTTTAAAGATACCATTCAAGATAGTGTAATCAAACTTCATATGTTGATACATGCTGATATAAGCTATTCAACTGCATCAACATTTTTTGACCTTGACCTTTCTTTTGACCTTGATCTCACTCTTAATGTTTAGCTCAGTTTTAAAGATACCATTCAAGATAGTGTAATCAAACTTCATATGTTGATACATACTGATGTAAGCTATTCAACTGCATCAACATTTTTTGACCTTGACCTTTCTTTTGACCTTGACCTCACTTTTCTTAAATTAGTGTTTAGCTCAGTTTTAATGAAACCATTCATGATATTTTTATCAAACTTCATATGCTGATACATACTGATGAGAGCTATTAAATTGCATCAACAATTTTTGACTTTGATCTTTTCTTTGCCCTTGACCTCACTTTTCTTTAATTAATGTCTAACTTCATATGCTGATACATACTGATGTCAACCATTCAAGATATTCTCATCAAATTTCAAACACTAATACAAATTTTCATGTTGCATTACTGAAATACCCTCGGCAGGGCATTCATGTCCTATGGATGTATTTCTAGTTTTCTTATACGTCCTCCTTCAGGGGTACATTCTTCAAAATATTTGGTTATGGAAAGGATATAAGGCAGCATTCCTCGTTTTTCTAGGGGGTTAGATTTTTTTTTTACATGCTGGAATTACTGATCCAAAGCACAACTCCCCTGAACTAAGAAGACCAGTAGGTTTTGATTTGCCCTTGACCTTTCCTGAAGAAATTTTAAGTCAAGGTCACTCTTTAAGCCTTGCTTAAAGTCCCTCTTTTGGATAAATACATTAAACTTTGAGATTGATATTGGATATGCAGACAGCGAATTGAAAAAAATAATTGTAATACAGTGCCCACAGAATGAAGGAGTTTTCATCTTGCAAGAGAAGGTTCTTTCTGATACATGCATCAGATGTTTCCTGTTCAAATCACTTGCTTTTGTTAATCATTACGAGTATTTGAACTGGCTACAAAAAATTATGTTCCTCATTCAACTTTCAAGATTTGGGCAAACAAAAAAATTTCATTTAGACCCCAGTACAAAATTATTTCCATAATTATTTTATCAAATACAATCAAACCTCATTATCTTGAGCTCGATGGGTCCAAGAAAAAACTTTTGAGATACTAGTAACCCAATCTGATTAAAATCAGATCCTTGATGCTCCTTTTTTAACGATAGGTCGCTTACGAGCCTTGTAAGCAACATATCGTTAAAAAGGGAGCATCGAGGATCTAATTTTAATCAGATTGCTAGTGACCAAGGATTCGAAATATCGAGGGTAAAATAAAGAATAAGTGGTCAGACTTCCAAATCACTTCGACATATCCATGTTATTTGAGATATCAGTGTTTGAGATACTGTACTTCAACTGGACTTACATGTAAATTTGCTGTTACTTTTCAAGGGCAAATAAGATAACATGTACATATATGTACATGCAGGTATTTAATTGTTAGACATGTATTTATCCTAAGTGTAAGCATATTTTACTGTATTTTTGGCTGCATAAAAAGACAGAATTCCCCTAAAGTTATAATTTCTATCTGAGTTTTGATGAATGAAAACAAACAAAATTTGATTTTTTTTTTTATTCAAAAGGGTTTTATACTATCAAAAAATAAATAAAATATTATATATACAAAAACAAGGTTCTTCACAAATTTCATGCACAAGAAAAAATTACATGAGAATTACCCTTGGGATCATGAGAAAAATGTCCCTAAACATTTTAAATCCTTGAGGTACAGTGTAAAAATGTGCAATTCACTCTATCAAAAATATAACAGAATCAACGGAAAATGCCACTTAATTTTTGATTCTCTAAGATGTTCTAATTTTGTGAACACTGTGTGTAAAATACATGTACTGGTACATGTTTGCTTTGAGAATTATATAACTAGTTACATTGCCCATGAGCTTATCGAAGTCTGTGTGTTTTTCTTAACAGCTTTTGGAGTCTGTTGCTGCCACTGTTGAAAGATCTTGTTCATTTTAGCTCTGCTGGCAGGATTTCCCACATTAACAGTAGGAATTATTTTACTAGGCTTTATAAACTGTACAAATCTCTCCAACTCCAAGTAACTGCTGTGCTCAGAGTATGGGATACCTTAAAATAAAACAGATAAAATACCTAATACATGTAAGATGTAAATGCAATATAAAATGTAGCAACTTTTAGTTGAAATTCATTAAAAACCATGAACCTTTATACAAGATGAAGTTTCTGTTCTGTGTTTTACTCTATAGTTTCATTAGGATAAAGAGAAGTTTTACAATGTACTTTAGCGATTTCCTCACATACCATAAATCTTGATGCCATCCCTGTTGTATTTGGGTCTTATCTCCTGCAGAGAATTGATTTTGCTGAAGGTCCAACCAGTAGGTTCTAGTGCCAGAATATTTTGGTACTGGACAGTCAACTTCTCAGAGTGTTCCATAAGAGCCTGCAAATAAGGAAAAAATGCTATCAATAAAGAATTGATGACTTGCTAGGTGTATTTAAAATGTGATTTTGAATTTGTTTATTTCTTTAATTTTTTTTTTTTTTGGTATTTAGAACTCAACACTTGTTAAGATTGTTTCATTGGATACCTTTGGCTTTAATTTTCCCATGGGTAAAACATGGAGACAAGAATCATTGAAATTCAGACTGAGTTTCTTTCTAAGGCTGTCATCTTCCAAACAGTCCAAGATGTTCTTCTTATCCCGCAAAACACAAATCTTGCACTTAAGGGCCTCAGCAACAGCTGTGATAAAAGAGAGATAACTCTTAATGACTTAAATGTCTATTATTCCTTTCTCAGTTTGTAAAGGTGAAATATCTTTTTTGTCCAAGTTTGCCCCACAAGCTATGCTAAAATTGTTTGTATTTTACTTATAAAATACATTTCTTTTAGAAAATCATAAGCATTCAAGCAACATTTTATATGACTGAACAGAGGGTTTATGAATATTAAATGAATTCAAAATACAGTACATTTGTACATAAATATTGACATGGCAATGGTTACACTTCTTAACTTACATGTAAGTTGTATCCAACAAAACAGATTGACATGGAAATAACTTGCAAAACTAAAATTTACATGTAAAGTGTCAATTTTTTTTTTCAAAAACAGAAATAATTTCCTGTACCAGATTTATTGTGATCTAGCTTATACAAGTTCTTTGTAGATTTAATAATGTGCATTACTGTTTAATTCTTTGTAGACTTAATAGTGTGCCTGACTGTTTAATAATGGCTTTATCTCATCATTTTATTCATCTCATTATCATGCTGACTTGTTAATTTGACAAATTTACATCTTTGTAATGCTCAGGCTTATCTTAAGGACATTCATCCCAAATGAAAAGATAGACAAATCATACAAATATGCCTTTATAATACAATATTATCATAACCTGGCTGAACTGCTTGTACGTACAGTATATGTAGGTACACTTGTATAGTGTACATTGTTATTGTGATGCTGCTTTAAGCCATCAGAATAAACATTTATTGTAATACACATTGTACCTATGAAGACCCTCTCCTTGCCTATGGTGTATGATCCACACACAATGAGAGTCTTTGGGTTTCTCTGAAGTTCATTCTGTACCAAGTTAACTGTAAACTCTATCACTTCTCTCTGGGATGGAAAGGCATAGGTAGGATTACAGTAGCTAAAAATAGACGAGAAATTATCATCATTATTCTGGGAAAAAAACCAATAATCTATTCATTATTACTCCATTCATTTTGATCATTGAATTTTTTTAATTTAAGATTTTAGAAAAACAGTGCTCAATAGCCATTAGTTTAAAAGTGTATGTTCATTTTTAGAATTTTAATTTGTTTTTATACTTCAAGATCCATGTTCTATTTAAAACTTCCTGATTTGTAAATGTTTGTTTAAAGCTTACGTAGTATCTAGGTAAAGCTGTGATATTCGAACTCCGACCAAGGGGGGATACTTCTCCATACTGGGGTCAGCTCGGAAATCCCCAGTATGTAGAAACACTCTACCATCCTTTAACTTGAATAGGATCAGCACAGACCCAGGACAACTAAAATGTGCAAAAAATGGAACTAATAAAGTGAATAGATTTATTTTATAAACAAAAAACCGGTTTTATGGTAAAAAATGTTGGTACCCAAAAACTATACGCCCCTGAATCTTCGATTACAGGGGCATCAAAATATCAATGCATCAGGTAAAAGTCAGAGACAAGCTGACTGATGGACAGGTGGCAATGTTGATTACTACAGGACATCCACATTTTGTTGCACAGCTTTAGAACCGTAGATTTTTCTGTGAATGATACTCACTGATTGGCCTCTAGGAATGTCAGCTCCACCCCATCCACAACACAGGGCTTGTTCATTGGTAAAGCATGAACATTGGACTCATTTACTTTGATTTTGGAGATAACCAAATTAGCGGTGATCTTTAAGAAGAGATAACATTTCAAAAATAGAGTAATTTTTTTTTAAATGCAAATTTTTTTTCTATTTTATCTCTCTTTTAGTGTTTTTTTCCCGTTAAAATCAATAAATATGTTACAAATTAAGGTACTAAGATTCATCAACTTATAAAATTAAACATGTACAGTTATAACGGTTATAACGAAGTCACTGGGACCTGTGAAATTACTTCGCTATATCCTAATTCGTTATACATGTATCCATATAAGGAATTCGTAAAATTTATATAGCTGGGGATCCAAGAAAACTTCCCTATATCCATGAATTCACAATATCCGTGTTCGTACTAAACGAGTTTTACTGTATCTGTTATGCATACACTGAACATCAACACAAGATTAATCCAAACACCAAATGACTATGATCAATTAAATACTTCCTCTAGTCTTATCAGTAGACTCTGTGGGTAGGTGTCTTACCTTGCTACAGTAGATTGGTTGTGAGAAGGACTTTGTCATACCAATATAATGGTCATAATGAAAATGGGATAGAATGTACCCTCTACAACCTGGAATGACTCCGTAACTAAAGGCATCCACAGTAAAACCAGTGTCTGAAACAGAATTTACATCAATGGTGCTTATAATTAAAATATATTCAAGTACATGTATCTTCTTCTGAAAGGATTTCAGAACAAGGCTGCATACATTAAATTACATTCAAATCTTTGATACCAGAATTGTTTGTCCTCAATCAATTAACGTGAAAACATTTTAGAACATTTTAAAAGCATTTTGGATATGAAGTTCTTGATCAATGTTGATAGCTTGTACCTGGGATTTTTTTGTAGAATGGACAATTCTTCTTGCTGTAACTGCTTGGCTTACTCTGTTGACCTTCTGCCGATGGAATCGTAAGTTCTGAAACTTTCACCTCCTTAACAGACTTCTCCACTGCCTTTGGTTTGCTTTTCCTGTCTTGCTTTGACATCAGAAATTCCATTGCATTGGGCTTACTACTCTCAACAGCCAAGTTCTTATTAGTTATTTGAGAGTCCATATTACCTAACTTTGTAGGTCTAGTTTTCAAGGAACCAAACCCACTGCCCATACCTGAGGAAATATTTGTCACAACAGTATTTGACGAGTTCTTCTTATCAATTATTGTCTTACTATCTCCTAGCTTTCGTTGACTCCTTCGTAAACCACCAATGCCTTCCTGTGATGGAACAGCCTCTTGACATGTTGAACTATTTACTTTGTTTGTAACTTCATCTAGTGCACTTCTACTGACTCTAGAAGTCACAAATTCACTACTTTCAGTGATCAGAGTACATGTTTCCATATCTGAATCAGACACGATAGACGTAAAGGTGACTTGCTGCTGTACACTGGTCCCTGAGGCTGAGGATCTTACATTCTTTCCATAGAAAAACGATGTTAGAGAAGTTTGTTTGTTGCTTTTGTGTCCATTCATGACACTGATATCTTGTGTTGTTGTCACAGACTGTGATCGTTTTCCTTGGGTTTTAGAATGAATTTTTAATGCTGAATTACAATCTGAGGTGATCTTTATATCAGACTGTTCCTTCCTCTTCTTACCTGAGTTGGGCTTTGGAGGTAAACCATTCTTCTTTTCTTCAGATTTCTGTGAGGTCATTGAATTTGCAGGCAAACTTTTACGCTTCTTGGCAGAGGACTTTTTTGAGGAGGTAGACTTCTGTGACAAGCTTTTTCTCCCTGAGTGTTTCTGAGAGCTACCCGAGTTTTGTGAACATTTTTGTGGTGTGAGTATTCTGGCCCATTGCATTTTCTGAGACAGAGAAGCGGAACTTTCACAATCTTTGAAATCTGAATCTGAATCAGATATATATAAACACACTTCCTCTTTACTCAAAGAATTTTTTGTACCTCCTGATTTTTGAGTTTTTAAACAACTTGTGTTCTCCATGACAAGATTATCAAGTTGTTTACCATCCTTGTCTGATGAGAATAGTACATCATCGCTCTTTTTCTCATGAGTTTTATTCTTCTTCCTCGGACTTATCTTCACCGGTGATGAAGACTTCCTCTTACTGTTCTGTGTCTTTTCATTTTGTTTACAAGTTTCATTTTTTCCAAAAGTCTCATCTTGCGAGGAAAAACAAAGCGTGTTGTCATAATTCCCAAAAATATCCTGTGATTCCAGTTTTTGTAAATCTTTTAATTCATCTTCTTCGGTAGAGAAACACAGAGTGCTTTCTGCCTGTAAACTGTCGCCATCCTCATCTGGCAATAAACTGCTTACCAATCCTTCATCTTCATTTTCATCAGATCCCTCATCCGATGAGACTTTATCTATGTCACTGTCACTCTGAACAGCATCCAAAATGTCTGACAAACTTCTCTGACTTAGCAAATCTTCACTTTCAGCATCAGACCTATTATCATCCTTGACTTCGCTCCCAACTTCTTCTGCTGTTGAGATCTTTTTCAGATTTGGAACAAACTCTTCAGGAAATTTTAATTCCTTTCTTGCTATTTTGTTTTCCTCTAAAATGTAAACAAATCTCATTGATGTTTATAACAACTGATTTCATTAATCAAAATGTAGCAATTTTAAATTTTTTCAAACAGCTAAATTTGAAATACTGGGTAGCAAATTTGATTTACATGTATATTATATTTTGTACAGAGTACAACTCACTGTACAAGATCTGCATTAGAGTATGCATATCATGTGTGTTTAAGGCCGGTTTACATTATGAATCTTGACACATGCATCTAAACTCATGCTTCTATTTTGCTTAATGCATCTTGTTATTTAGACTATGAGTCTTGTTATTTAGACTATGTGTCTCGACACATGTATTTTCTGAAAACTTTATAAATATGAAGTTTTATCCATTTAAAAAAAAATAACAAAGCCCTTTAATTCCCTTTCTAGATTTGTTTTAGCTGAGCAAATCATTCCTAATTTCCTTTTTATGATAATTCTGGGAAGATATAATTTATATATATTCCAAAAAAATTCCACTTTATGATAATAATCAAATTAGTTTTTCTAATTGTAGTTTTAATCAGCACTTTCTTTGTTTTTGGTTCTTTTGGGATGCAATTTTTGGAGGAAAATAAGGTTTGTGATCCACTCTCAACTCTGACCTATCTTTTAATTGGTCAATTCTATGCATCTTGACACAAGGAATAGAACAAGATCTATTCCATCTGTCAAGATGCAACACCAATTAAATATAACACAAGGGGCTATTTACACTCTGAATTTAGATGCATGCATCCAAGATGCATGTGTCAAGATGCATAGTGTAAACCGGCCTTAAGGAAAATTGTTTCAAGTATCCAAGATGGCACTTTCTAAGATACATTACCTTGGTTTTCTGTACACTCTTCACTCTTAGTTAAGTTAGTACATCGAGCTAGTGCCAGTCTGTGATGTGAGAACTCTCTATAGTGATTCTCTATTGTACTGTCACATGACAAACCCTCTGGACAGTCTGAAAATTTCAAGAAAGAATATCACTTTTAATTCAAACATGGTCATTTAAAAATTTGTGCAATACTTAGCTGTATTCAGTTTTTAATTTAAATACCAGTCTGTTTCTATCACAAACACTTACAGTTACCCAGAAAACCTGAAATATTATCACCTGTGCAAGGCATGACACAAAATAGTTTACCATTTGGGTTAAATTTCATACCTACAGTGGGTTGTAACCAGGCCTCTATACACTCTGTAACATGCCAGGTTGGTGATAAAATCCCTAAACATGCAAGGGGCACCTGACAATTCGGACACACACCCTGAGGACGTGTAGGGGTCTGGTTGGTCTTAGTAAGGCTGGATGATTCCTTGTTTTTCTTCTGGGGAGTTTTCTGTCTCTTTCTGACTTTTGTTGGTGTTTTTCTTTTCCCCTATAAATAAACAGATGATGAACTTTAAAATCACCACTTATATCTCTAGTATTACCCATATTTTTTTTTATGATGATTCAACAAAATATTGTATGTACTTTTATTACTGTATTACAATCTCTTATTTTTGGAATTTCTGCAATTTAGTTGTATGCAATAATTTATTTTATTTGCACCTGTAAAGAGTGAAAACACAGGAATGCAAGTTATGAAGTATATTTGTCTATTTGAATCTCAGTTTATTACAGTGATAGATTTATCAAGTAGGTAACACATACTGTGGAATCTTTAGATTTCATGGTGGCTCAATTTCGTGGAATTCATGGGTACCCTTCATCAACAAATTTACATCCTCCAAGAATTAATAAACAAGGGGTTCAAAGTCATATTTCCCTTTGTGTATATGATTAAATACATGAACTTACGTCCCAATGAACCAGTAAACATGGTAAAATTTAAGCAATCCATGAAAACTGGCCCCCACGAATTTTGATGATTCCACAGTAATAATTAAAAAAAAAAAAATACAGTCTTAATTATCTGTCTAATGGCCTGTCAAATTTGGCAAAATGGAAAATATTATATACCTTATCTTGGGAACTATTTGATGGTTGTTTAATTGCTAGATTCTTCTGATGATATTTCGCTCCTCTCTTAGGTTTACCCTCACTCCGTTTGACTTTCTTGATAGATTTATAATCCCAAATGTCATCTTCATCTTCTTCCATGTCACCAGTGTCTTAGAAGAGTGATTCTTCACTTGTCTTTATTCCACTGCATGCTGCACAAACAATTCACCATTTTTATTTCATTTACAACATGACATAGTGATACATCATGTACATAATTATTATATTAATTTTATATTAATGGTAAATAAAGTACCTATCGAGAATCAAAACGCACACACACAAACTAAAAGAATTTCACATGTTGACACATCGACGGTATCAGGTTCGTTCGCCCTATCTACCTGTTCGCATGAGTACGTTCGCGCAGGGTCCGTTCGCCATTATTCTTGTTCGCCCTATATCTCGTTCGCCCTATTATATATACAGTATATAGTAAATATCAACATTTATTATTAATTTTATTCAATATTTTACGACTTGGTGGTTTTTTTTCAAATGTTGTTACAGTATTTTTTTTATTTACCGTAATCTTAATTAAATAATTCAAATTTAATATTTATGCTCTTTACATGCTTAATTGATTTAATTATACTTAATAATGTCACTGTAATTTAGGGGATCATACAGTCTGCATTATGTTTTGGAAACAATTAAAGGACTGAGACGTTAATTTCTGTTGGTCTGCCGGGTCTTTGAAAGTACGGGTATTTATAGTGTGACCACATGCATACGTCTGTTGTCTCCTGTGTGCAATTTATGTACCGATGTACATACAATTTATTTAAAAAATCCATTGGTTCATTATTCAACTTTCTGCAATTTAAATAAGGCGAACGGACCCTGTGCGAACAAGTTTTAGGGCGATCAAACTCTGGGCGAACGGGAATTAGGGCGAACGGCGTCAAGGGCGAACAAGTTTTAGGGCGACCGAACATACAACCCACATCGACTTGGGAAAATAGTGCTGAGGTGTCATTATGTGCAATCTTATGTAACATGATCAATTTCTTACCTGCCGTAAATGCCGAGTTCAGCCCATTCATAACTTGTAGTAGATATGCCACCTTGACTTATACCTCGTTAGATAAATATGCCAATCTTCTCAAACACTTTAGTCAAAAGTTTACTTTTTTCGATTCATTGCGCCATATTTTCAACTTTCTACCTCATGGACAAAGAAGAGTTCCAAATTCCTAAAAAACAGATGAAAGGCATTTATCAAAATAAATTGTGTTATAATCTTCTATTTTATTCCAACTTCATTATATATGAAAATAGGTAATAAATGACAAGAAAAAATATATCTGTGTACATGAATTTGATAATCGAAACAGTTATTGCACAAGATAACAAAGGATATCCGAAATGCTTCAAAAGTGGTTTCTATTTTAGTGTTCTAGGTTTATTTCCTAAACGTGCTGATTATTTACAATAGAAGGTAAATGTTCGGTGCATAAATTTGTTGGCCACTAGGATGACCTATTGCTGTGTATCCATCTGTGTGTCGTCTACCAGGTGCAATTTTCGAATATTTTTTTACTTTTTATTTTCAGCTTCTGATACTCAGACATAATGTTTCTGTAGACCTACTGGATTATGTTCCTAGTCAGATCTGCTACCTGACTGGCTCGTAACTACGTTAACTTGAACCCAAAACATTAACTTTGAGTCATATTTGGACGGGAAGTTTAAAAAATTACCCCCTTCAGGGTTCGACACTAACCATAGCCCGCTAGCCCGGGACACCTGAAAATTGAGGTCGGGCTACTAAACATGTCTTCAAGCTTGTCCTGCAGGGCTGCAGCAATTTATTATCAAACACTAACTCGGAGCATTTAAAAATTAATTAAAAAACGCACTAGTCCCGATTTTGTTACTTTCCGATTAACCCCGTGTTTCGCAATTCTCGGTAACTTACCTTATTGCTTTACATTGCACGACACATCCACATGTGCGACAACCAACCAGACATCAAATCTCTTATCAGATACAAAAAAAAATTAAAGAGAAAAACATCATGTGTTAATTAAAAAAATTAGCAATTTAATTGATTAAATTATCCTTACTGAAGAAATATTCGTGTTGAAAACGCTGCATGGTTTTCCTCATCCATGTCGTAGCATTGTTGGTGGGTGAAACACGATGCATTAGGAATTGACAAATTGATAGAACGACAATTTTAAAAGCTTCCATAAGCATTTATTGTTTTTGACAACACATCAAAATTAAAAAAAAAAAATAATTACTGCATTTGTAGTCCCCTACAGTTTGGGTTATTTTGAATCACGTGTGTACATGACCTCAACCGAACAAATTGCACACGCTGCACACTTGCTGAATGTGTCAGATATTTTTGTAACATGTAGCTTTCATTAAAGGCAAGGAATATAAAAGTTAAAGTATGAAAAAGCAACAGCTATTAAAGATTAGCCAGGGTATATATTGGTCAGTGTTGATCTTTTTATCATACACTGAAATACATTTCACACAGATCTATACAAACATGCCGGTTCGTTCATGTTATACAGAAATAATTCAATTCTGGTTGTAACCAGGGCTCTCACACCACTTTCTGGGACTGGGGCCAGGGCCATGAAAATTGGGAAAAATTAGCGACCTTTTGGGTAATTTTTGGAAAATCATAACTAGACATTACAGGGTTCGACATTAACGCTTGTCCGGTACCAGTGAATAAAAAATACGGACAAGTGAATTTGCTGGGCACTTGTCCAATTGGACAAGTGCATTTTTATGTAAAGAAGTCGCTTAATATTTAAAAGAATGACTGTTGAAAGTTTAACGGTACTTTAAGACGGAAACAGTACATAAAAACCGAACTTCGATCCCGATATAGATCGCTATGTAATTGAGTACACTCGATCGGGATCGAAGTTCACTAATTGCATGCAACTGCAAAGGCATGGAACTGACGAAGTTTGGATTCTGTTTTATGTTGACAGCATTTATGTTGTCAGGACAGAAAGTCTAGATAAAATTTTGTTTTATGTGTTTGTTGTATTTATAAATAACATCATGCACATGTAATGGACTTTATTTTTAGTTTTTCGGTTAAGTATTTATCTTTACTGCAAATTTTTCGGACAAATGAAGTTGAAGTTCGGACAAGTAAATGTCTTGGTCACTTGTCCGAATGGACAAGTAGCAAAAAAAGTTAATGTCGAGCCCTGCATTATACATTAAATTCATGATATATTGAGTTTCTGGTGGTTGTTATCAACTAAATTTCAGTGAAATATGAATTACAAGTTTAGTAACTATATATCTTACTAAATGTTCTTTAATATTTTAGGAAGTGAAAGATTGGGAAAATTATCACCTTTAATTGGGAGAAAAGGTGCCTTTTTTGAATTGGGAATGGGGCCTTTGAACGACCCCAAATATAGAGAATCGAGAGCCCTGTTGTAACGCTGTATTTGATTGGATAAAAAATTTACTTTATATAGTATAAATTGGGTTGCCTACATCACATTGACTTGCATCGATCCGCCTGACGTTACATTCAAATTTTGTACAAATTAAAGTCATTTTTTAAGGGTAATCATCTTTTTTTCTTATACCAAATGAATGAAAATTAAATTATAAGGAATGAATTTAATAGCTACCCAATTTATACGGTATAAACTGGGTTGGAACAGATTATGCTTTAAAGCATAAGTTTATGCTTTAAAGCGTAAGCTGCCCTAACCCAGTTTATACCATATCAAAAAGGGTAGCTATTAAATTCATTCCTTAAATAATAATACTTTGTTTCTGATATCAATTTTCATTTTCATACATTTTTGACTGTTTCGAAGATGGACTTGCCTAGTAATATAGATCTGGTTTTTCATATACCTGACTTTTCTTTAATACTAAATAACCAGTTACAAACTTTTTAATCAGATTGTTCGCAGTCAAAATGTCAAAGGTGATTCGGAATACCCTAAATGACTGTAAATGTGGAATTTTTAAATAAGAAAAACGTCTTTTGTAAAGTCATGAAGTGACATATAATTTTACCCAAAAATGTAGCCAGAATGCAGGATTTAGCATCTCTATTTTTAAAATTTTCCGGGGGAAGCCCCCCTTACCCCCTCCCGCACCTACCCCCCTCGTTGCTTTGCGACTCGGTCAGCAGCCATTGGCTGCTGGACAACTAATTCATGATCAGGGCTAGTAGAAATTAGAAATTGCTAGCCCTGCGGGTGACCATGGTTTAAAAGTTAGTGTCGATCCCTGCCCTTTGACTGGTTCACAAGGAAAGGAAATTTTTAACCAATGAACTATATAATCCTAAATTGATTTTCAAAATATTCAGGTTAGCATAGCTGTCAAATTTCAGTGACTTGTTCTTTTAACCATTAAATACACAAGTAGAGTAATTTTGTAGAGATACAACATCAACAAAAAACAACTTAAAAACTATCATTCCTTACCCTTAAAAAAATGTGTGTTTCTTTTTCTTTGCAACGCAGGCTATTCGAGCTTGAGGAAACATCGGTTAAATATGCAGATATGTTTAGTCTATTGAGTCCCTGAGGTACTTATTTGCTTATTCATGCCATGTTCATATATTCAAGATTAAATATTAACTACTTCTATTTAGTAATAAAAGCTCACTTACCAAGGATTTTTATTTATATGTCCAATTTGTAGTTCATACACATGCATTCAGTCTCATACCTGATTAGGAATTTGACTTGTATTGAATTTTAAATTTATTTATTTTTTTTTAAAAGGAATGCACAATGGTTTATATCTCTCCTGTGATGTTAATGGCATATAAATACAGTTTCTTAATTATTATAAACAAGAGGGGGATGGCGGTACCTCCCCCCCCCCCCCCCCCCCCAACAGATATGTTATATATTATATACCGTATGCAACCTTCTGTTGCTTCTGTGAATAAAATGGAAATTCTGTTTTCCTCCATATAACCTTCAATGTACCAAACTGTTAATTCTTTAACCATTTTAAAATTATTCATTTGCCTGAATAATCATGCACAGTGGTATCAAATGTTTTGTTTTGTTTTGTTTTGTTTTTTTTTGGGGGGGGGGGGGGGAATGTGAACTGAAATCGTTTACAGTAAAAGGTCAGACCAGTTTGCTGCAATGAGATATTGTATTCAGTTAATTTCAGTAAACAATTCTTTTTTTTATTCTTAATACTTTGTATATATAATAGGTTTCAGTTCTTATGTTCAGCAGAACTCACAACAAATGTATCTGTGTATTCATGAAAAAATACATTGTTAGGAAATCAGGAGGAATAACTCAACTAAAGGGAAAACATGCATCTCCAACATTTTTAGAGTTGTTCTTCTTTGATAATAAACTTCTAAAAACCGTATAGATATTTAATTTTTTTTTGTAAAAGAAAAAACAAAACCATATATTAATTTATATAATTATAATAAGAGAGACCGGTAAATTCTGAATTTTATGTAGCCAATTGTAATGGAAGAAAACAATGTGACATAAAATTTTTCAGATAAAAAAAGTGCTGTGTACGTATGATCACAAATACAATTTACCAATGAAATTAAAGAAATTTAAGGGATAACCTCTCTTTTTTCTTTTTATGGAAGGAAGGGGATTTAATGCAAATGCACAAATAATCAAGGATAGGATTTGGTATTCATTAAGAAACCACAATCAAAGCCCCGAATCCCATTTTTCTTTTAAATACATCGGGAACGTATTGCTCATCATTTTGACGCTTAACGATTAACATCAAATTTGACGTCAGGTTAAACATTTAATTGAAATCACAAGAATTTTCTCCCCACACTGTGTTGTATTCCTTAATCTATATGAATATGTATGATACCTTAAATACATACTCAAATTTATATAAGGTATCATACATATTCATAATTAAACCCCAGGAACCTGTGCTTGGAACCTTCAAAATTTTAATTTGTTTACTTATTTACTGTATGAATTTTGTTAAAGATAAATATTTTTGTTCATTTGTTTATATGACCAAAAAGAGAAGATAATGTAATTATCACATTATGAAGGAAAGGTATATGTAAATTGTAGAATATATCGTACATGGAAATCAGGATAGCAATATTTATATATTTTGATCTCTGTTGCTGACTCTCATTTCAAAATCTATTTTCTTTAGCAATAAAAAAGAGAAATTTAATAATTAATGGAAAGAAATATATACATATATATTTTTATCAACAAATGAATTGAGGTGTATTTGATTCAGATGAATATGAGATATGACAGGATTTGACCACTATTATTTGTCATGCACAAATACATGTGCATGTACTTGTATGCACTGGGAATCACAGAGTTTAATTAGTAAATATAATATAGTTTTAAAAGTTCTAAGAAATGTTAAATTCAAATTATCACCCATTTGCATTTGTGACTAAAATTTTGCCTTAGCTGTTTAAAATATGTTACTGCAGTCAACTATGTGCTGAACAAGCATCATGTGAAATGTAAGGCACACACAGACAGGACATTAAATACACATATGTACATTATTCTGTTATTCCATTAGCTCATTTATAATTGCACAGAAATAAGGCTACATTTAGAATACCCCTCATGATGTCTATTGATAAAGGGGAATACACTGCAATAAAATATTAACTGATTGCCTATTTTGTATAACATCATTATAATTTGTAGCTTTTTGATTTTGATATGCTGTATATTAATGACAACAATTATTTTTGGTCTTTCCTCTGACTATAATTTTGTAAAATTCCTTTTTTGTCTAAAGGCTGCATACTTTGTTTTGCAGAACTTTTTAATGTAATTTTTTTTTACATTTCAGGATATCAAGAGTGAGGTCAAAGGAGAGCAAATGTATTCATTGTTGAAGCAGTAGACATTTCGTAAAGTTCCTTTACTAGATGACACCTTGGCATGCAGTGTTGTTCTTTGTATGTGGCTGTTTAACATCATATTTTTTTCACTGTTTCCTGACTACAAAATATGCCCCCAGTCCAATTCACAAACAGCAATTAAAACTAGCAATTGGAATACTGTCAGCAACTGAGAACTTTGAACACAGAGAAGCAATAAGAAATACCTGGAAACCAAAAGCAAGCAAAAACATGCAGGCATGGTTCATTATTGGAAATAAGGATTGCCAAATCCACCCAGAAAACAGAATCGATAACTACAGATGTGAAAAAAGTAATTTTAAGTTTCAAGATCCACATCATGTCAGAAACAACTTCCTCACTAATGTTACAGTGCCAAGAGATACAGAGTTAAGGAAACATGGAGGAAATGTTGTTGATAGACTTAACTTTAAAGTGATGTCTAATGTCCTTGTGAAGAGAATTGGAGTAGTTTCTTTGGTGCTAAACTTTGAGTCAAATATTACTGTTCAAATCTTAGAAGCATGGTCTGGCAATGTAGTTGCAGTTGCATCATTTTCAACCATAGATAGAGGAATTGAAGTGGGTCACTGTACATTTCAACCTGTTTCAAGTGTGATTTTGCACAAAAACTATGAATATGTCGTAGAAATTGAAAATTTTAGTAATCATGGAAAAATGTTAGGTTCAGAAATGAACACAGCATTAAATGATTTTGATGGTGCAATATATTATCAAACAAAAATTAAAACTAGTGATATTATTCTACCAAATATGTGGCTTGAAGTTCAAGATGTTTCTGATGATATAAATAATTTCAAAAATGCAAAATTACTAGATAAAGAATGGAAACAACACATCAGTGATGTTCGTTATAGACTTAAGTTGGAAGCAGATACTTTTCAAGACATTTTATATGTCGACACTATTGACATTTATAGAAATTTACCATTGAAATTGCTGTTATTTCACCAATGGCTGTTTAATAATTCTTTGCCGAGTTTTGTTCTAAAAACTGATGATGATTGTTTAATTGTTTTAGATTCAGTTCTTCAGTATATTTCAGAGCTAAGTGAACATAATGACAACTTTGTATGGTGGGGAAACTTTAGGAAACAGTGGTTAGTGCAAAAGTTTGGAAAGTGGGCAGAATTTTCATATACTGCTGATGTATATCCAGAATTTGCTTGTGGTTCTGGAAACATTGTAAATGCAAATGTACACAAATGGATAGCTAAAAATGCAGACCATTTACATACATATCAAGGAGAGGATGTGTCTATGGGGATATGGATGGCAGCAATATCCCCTGTTCATTTAGAGGATAAGCGCTGGCAGTGTTCGAATAGTTGTACTCAGGATTCCCTGAGTATTCCAGAACTTCAACCTTCAGAGATTAAAGAACATTGGAAAAATGTTCAGCTTTGCAATAATCTATGTAACTGCAATATTTAATTTGAAAGTAAAAATTGAACAAAAGTTTTTCTCCTGTTTTTAGTTTTAATAATTTGGTCATTTGATTTCAAGATCTCTCTCAAAAGTTATGCTGCGACAAATGGATTGCCCCCCCCCCCCCAGTAAAGTCTTTTTCCCCTCCACAACTCCCATTCAGAAATTCTGGATCCACCCAACAATTAGCTACCGACTTTGCAAGGGACTGTTTTTATATTATGAGACATCCACTTTACCATTTTTTGATAAAAAGACATAGGAGGCATTGATTAGTTCCCAGTTTTAAGAGGATTTAATTAATTAATCTTTGCCATGACTTTTATTAATTCAATAATTTAGGTCTTTTTTTGTATCATGCACAGACAAGACAGGAAACGCAAACAAGACAGTTACAATAGGCCTATGCCATAAATAACTGCATCCCAGCAATTATTTATCGCATATTGTATATGTTGTGTGTGTTTACTGTCTTGTCTGTGCATCATACAAAAAAGACATAAATTATTGAATTAACAATAATATTTTGCTGTATGCAGCTGAGAATCCGCTTGCCATCCCTTTAAATCTGTTGCGTCCTAAATTATATGTATTCGTAATTTTTTCAGAGATTTATTAAATGATTTTTTTTTAAAAATCTCGAAGTATCTCCCTGGATCCTGTGACCACCCTCGACCCTGCAATATTATATATTACAGAATGGTAAGTTGGTATTTCAATGTGCTACAAGAATCAGGATCTCTTTCATAGCATCTGAATAATTATTTAATCAATTAATTAACTATAGTCTGTAATTTAGGAAATATCACTATACATCGTGAAAGTCCGACATCAAAAGTTGGATTAATCGGGCAGAATGTTCCATATAATTTAAAAGAAATACAAGCGAGTAACCATTTACTATCAAATTACAGATACTTCACGTATCTCTGGGTCTACTCATTGTTATACTTGATAAAGCAAAGAATACAAGTTTTCTCATTGCAGTGGCACGTCACCTACTTATTACTTACCTATATAGATGATGCTACAACTCATGGGACTTCATTGTTTGATAAAAGAAGAATATCAAAGATAAAAATCACCCATATGTACCCATTGGAAGAGGGTCGACTTAATTACCTAATTAATGATACATTTTAATTAGGCCTATATAGAATCAAATCTTTGGAGACAACACATATAGGAAATGAAGAACACAGTATGAGCAATGTGCTCTTTAGCTACAGAACTGTTGCTCTATGAGACAGAAATTCAGACAGACATAAAAAATATAATTATGTTTGTTCCGAATTATCTTTCCCAGAGAGGCCGCAGTTCTGGCTAACTAATCGCGAACTAAAAATGTGCAGAAAAACAAAGAAACAGAAATAATTAGTTTCTGATTTTTATGCATTTGAGTGATTATTAGTCTTCACTTTATATTCACAAATCATTGATTTTCCCTCAGTTGTCTTCAGCATAATCATATTTCTGATTTTCAATTTTACTTGTACTTATTTGTACTTATAATGTGTCTTGTTTGTCTATTTTTTCTTTCAGGCCCGTAGAACGCGCGGGGGGGGGGGGGGGGGGGGAGGGGGGAGGTCCTCCCTTTTTCGTGAGTATAGTATTTTGCTATAGTAAATTTTCCTTTAGATGCTGTCCCTCTGTCTGTCTGTCCGTCTGTCCCACTTGGTTTTCCGCACTTTTTTCCTTAACGCTTGTAGATATTGAGCTGATTTTTTTGAATTGTGAGTGTATCTTGATGAGTTACAGATCAAGTTTGCATTTCGTTCCGCTTCATTGATTTTTGACGGAATTATGACCTTTTCAATTTTTAGGGGTTTTCCGCATTTTTTTTCTAAACGCTTGCACATATTGAGCTGATTTTTGGTATGTAACTTTACCTTGATGAGTTATAGATCAAGTTTGCATTTCGTTCCGTTTCAATGATTTTTAACGGAATTATGGCATTTTAAATTTTTAACGGGAACCAGATTACACTTGCCGGTAGGGGACTAGTATTGCTAATGCAATACTCTCAGAATGCTTGTTATTTTATGGATTATTTCTTTGAAAATAATTCTCTGAAAATCTTCTCTGCTCCTTTGTATTTAGCAGATAAACTAAGTGCATGGTTATAATGAGCAAGGGTAGCCTCTTACAAAATTGTGAATTTCATGGCCACTGCGTTTTAGGGTGGGGCTCTATCGATCATATAGTTAACACTTACATTCTTTAAAAGATCTTCTTTTGCACCTTAAGCAGACAAAATGATTGCATGGTTATGATGAGCAAAGATGCCTCTTCCAAAATTGTGAATTTCATGGCCCCAGGGTCAAGGGTTTTGGTGTTAGGATGCATTATGTCTTTGAAAATTTCTCTGATCCTGGGTATTAAGCAAATAAATTAAGTGCATTGTTGTAATGCACAAGAGTGTCTCTTCAAAAGTTGTGAAATTCATGGCCCTTAATTAGGGGTTTGGGTGTTGGAACAGGGCTCTATGGATTACATAGTGCAAATGCATTTTTTTCTTGAAAGTCATCTTCTCTGATCCTGGGTGTCAAGCAAAACAAAGTGTATGATTAAGATGAGCAAGGGTACCTCTTCCAAAATTGTGAAATGTCCCCCTGGGTCAGGGGTTCTTGTGTAATGGTAGTACTTTATTACTCACATAGTAAAAATGTATAAATTCATTCTTTAAAAATCTTCTTCTCTGCTCCTGGGTTTTTAGTATATAAACAAAATGTATGGTTATGGTGAACAAGGGTGCCTCTTACAAATTGTGAAATTCATGGCCACTGGGCTAGAGGCTCTGGATGTTGGGTGGCTCTATTGATTATATAGTGCAAAAACATCATTTCTTTGAAATCAAAATGCGTTAACAATTTGAACATCTTCTCCACTCCTGGGCATCTAAGAGACAAAGAGAGTACAAAGCAAGCGTAATTTTACTAGATTTGGAAAATTCTGGACCAATTTTTCAAATGTTCTTTGCTGGAAAGGACTTTATTGATCTTGTAATGAAATTTTTACTCTATTGAGAAAAGTTATTCCATTTGCTATTCACATACGATAATTAACCACTGTAATTAATGTAATTGATAGATGAATTGAATAAAAGAATATGTATGTATAATGAAAAAACTACTTTCGTACTTTTCATTGGTCAGGTATATTTATGAATAATAAATGAATAAAAATGGAACCAAAATACTTTACAGTGCATCTACATGTTTGCACATGAAATGTTCTTCAAAGGCCAAAAGAGGCTATATTGATTTGTTTAAGTCTACTGTGATATCGCTCATTTTCGTGGGGGTTTAATTTTTGTTGTTTTCGAGGTAAGAGACCCACGAATTCATGGCTACCACAAAATGTAAAATGTCATATAACTTCTCAACAATTCTTCATCCACGAAATCAAATCCAGACGAACCCATAGGTTTTTCCTCAAACCACGAAAATATGTGATTTTTTTATTTGATGATACTGACAAATAGGAGTACAATAATTAGCACTGGCATATACAGGCAAGATGTGCTTAATACGGTTTGTTACTGGGTACTAGACTAACTATTTTATTGATCCCTGATCGTTGTATTTTTATTGCTTTTGGGCAATATATCTTCATCTATCTACATGTATAAGGTTCTGTTCTATTTTATACTTCAGTGAAATCCTTTACAGTATTTTATTATACTCAGGTGACCGTTAAGGCATTTGGGGCCTCTGTTTAAAAAAATAAATTTTTAAAAAAACTCTCAAAAAGATCTAGACTAATCTCATGAACAAAACCAACACAAATGAATGAGAATGAACCTGTGGTTGTTCAAAATAACAATCTGATTAAAATCAGATCCTTTGATCTGCTCACATAGATAGGCTTTCACTTCTGTAACTGAATTCCGAGATGCTTCTAAATTCTTGGAAGTAAACGTTTGAATGGATGATTTAAAGGTCACCAGGAGATGACCCTAAATGGGGTTTCTTCAGATCCTTCTGTAGCGATCTATGTGAGCGGATCAAAGGATCTGATTTTAATCAGATTGTTCAAAATAACAATCTAAACCAATGGGTTACCAGGATAGATGGTGTGCACCAACGAATGGTGCATTCTTTCTTCTAACTCAAGATAAAAAACAGAACTTTTTTCTAGAAAATTCTCATCCATTTGTCACGTACATAGAGATTTCGTGCATGTAAGAAGACAATGATTTCGTTAACATGGAAAGTCTTCAGTTAACATAGAAATCACTTGCTGGACGATCTGATAAATTCATCTTTTACATTGCATGAAATCTGTCATTATCCGAATCGATGTGTCGCCTCACGCTTAGAAAATATGTGATTGAGAGAATTTACGAGTGTCTAACTGCATTTACATTTACCATTTTTCCTGATACCTGAAGTTTTAAATTTTGCAATTTTCCGTTTGGATAAGAAGGGAAGAAAAGGTTAATTATTTTTTGTTATCGAAATAGACACCCAGTTATTCATGGATCTGATATGATTTTAGAAAAATTAAACACGAGTCTATCAATTCAATTTGTTCTAATGACAAGTTGACCAAAACTTTAGCGTGGAAAAAATTTTTGCTGAGGCATGAGACGTTCTTTAAATTTGTACAATGTCTGCATTTTTTAAGGTCAAGATTTAGTAAATGAAAAGTGCTACGAAGTCCTCAAATTTGAGAAACGAATTCCTATAATAATCCATTATAATTATAGCTTAATAAATTAAAGTGTATCGGGGCATAATTTTTAGCTATACTCATATTTTGAACTGCCATTTTCAATTAAAGAAATGAATAAAATCGGGTATAAACATGGGAGTGTTCTCCATCTCAGACAAATGAAACGTATTAATATTGCCTACAGTCTCTCAATAACGTTTTTAAAAATATTTTCTTGACCTCTTCTTTAAAATGATATTAAATTGAATATATGTATCAAAATGTATTACTTTTGACACGTTTTAGAATTGAATTCCATGAAAATATAGCCGTATTATAGCCGTAAAGTACAGAAAAAAGAAAGTTTAAATCAA